AATGTTCATTAAAACTAATAACATTTAATAATAATAATAATAATAAAAAAACAAACAACAAATTCCATAGTAAAGCAAAGTACTTCCCTAAGTCACAAAACCTCCTCAGTACTAGAGACAAAAACCTATTATTCCTGATGTACTGATCACACATATACAAAGAGTCATTTTCATTCCTATTCAGAAAGAGCTAATATATGGGGGGGGGGAAATTTTTAAGTAGCACACCTCTAGAATTATCTACAGTAATGGACCTCTGTTAGCCTAATAGTAAAAAGGTGCACTGCAAAAAAAAAAAAAGTTGCTCTACAGGAGGATGGGCAACTCCTTCCCTGCGATTTAACGTCCTCTGAAAATGAACTGGAAGGTCAACTAGGGGACTAGGGGTCAGTTCCAACTCAACAGTAAACAACAACAATATGAAAAAGTGACAGTAAAAGGGTGTAATTATTGCAATTTCATCTTACTCAGCTCTTCCACTTCAAAAAACCCCTAAAAGAAAAAACCAACCTTTTTTCATTTCTGACACTGCTAAAATGTAGACGTAAAAGCCACAGAATTTACAGTAAACTTTCTAAAATTGAACCTAATTTTTCTAAAGTCTGGATAAATGTCTTCTCATTAGTAAATAAATTCTTTATTTATAAAATTTTAATGTCTTCATTACATATACTCACTCCACTAATTGCAACACACACAAAGAGAAAACCCAAAGACAATAGCTGCTGCACAATCTGGAGTGGAGTTTAACAAGCTCAGTACTATCTATATTTTTAGAAGGGGTAATTCTTTGTTGGGTCTGCTGTATGTCCTCTAGGTTGTTCAGCAACATCACTGGCCTCTCCCTGACAGTGGAACTCTCCGCCCCCACCAGTCATTACAATCAAGAATGTCTTCAGAGATAAGTCACATGCTCCCCGGGGATCAAAATCATCACAGTTGAGCATCATTGCTTTAGAGAAACTTTGTGTTGAAGGCCAAGCGGTCATTTAAGAAAGAATACAAAAGTCTGTGCCTAAGATACTTGTATAGATCACCTAAGAAATCAAAGGAATCACTTCATGTATATAAGGAAATAATTATCTGATCTAATGAAAGCATTGGAGGCCATCTCTTCATCCTACATCTCCAAGCCTACCCCTACCATCTATACTTACTGGTCTTCAAGGTCTCCCTGGAATAATCCCTAAGAGGTCATGAACCCTTGACTTGAACATTTCCCAAGATGGAGGCTAAGACTTCCATCAGCTGAAAGCTCTAATTATACAAAATAAAGCATTTTAAAAAACAAACAAATAAAAACTCCCAGTCTTCTAAACATGTTATTTTATATACATAAAATTAAAAGCTAAACATCTATTACCATTAGGTTCCATCTCCTTGGCCTAATTAATCTACACCATAATTCACACTATTTTGTGTTTATGATTATTTCTCCTTGGTCTATAAAAGACTTAAGAGAGGGACTATAGATTGAACTTTGAGAAAAATGGCAATTTTCACTGGCCATTTCTTTTTCGAAAATAAATCTGTTGGATTGAATAAGGTTCTATTTAATAAAAATTGAACTTATTTTAAAAATAGCTTGTTTTACTAGATAGTTAAAAAAAATAATACTTTTCCCATTTATATACCTGGTGAAAGATTTGATATATAGACATGGTATGAGCATAATCTTGAATAATCCAGGAAGCATCAAAAGTAGACAAAGGGAATACAATGAGTCACTGTATAAAAACAAAAACAAAGTAGCCAACATGGAATTATTTCAGGAAATAACATATGGCAAGAGCCAATGGTAATGAAAGAAAAGATTCAAGCTGCACTGAAAGCACTGACACATAATAACATCCCAGGAATCAAAGGATACTAACTGACATGTTTCAACAGGTACAGCCTGTGACATACTCACCAGTCAATGCCAGGAAATCTAGAACACAGCCAGCCAACTGACTAAAAGAGCTCTGTATTTGTTCCCATTCCCAAGAAAGGGGAATGTGGAAATTATTGAACAATATCATTAATATCACATGCAAGCAAAATATTGCTGAAGATCATCTAAAAACAATACATTGACAGAAAACTGCTGGAAATTCAAGCTGGGTTTAAAAAACTCCACGGCACTAGGGATATCATTGCTAATGTTAGATGGATCCTCACTGAACGCAGAAAATGTTTTATTGTCTATGCAAAAGCATTTGACTAGGTGGATCAAAACAAATTATGGGAGAACACTGAGAAAAATGAGAATCCCAGAACACTTAATTGTGTTCATGTGAAACCTATAACAAGAGTCTATTGTACAAACAGAACAAATTAAGAAAAGTGTGTTTTAGGGCTGTATCCTCTCTCCATACCTATTTGATTTGTATGTTGAGTAAATTATTCAATATAGACTTTATGAAGAGAAATGTAGCATCAGGATTAAAGGAAGACTCATCAACAACCTGCATTATTCAGATGACACAACTTAGCTCACAGAAAGTGAAGACAAGTTCAGCGATTGCTGCTGAAGAGCAAAGATTACAGCCTTCAGTATGGGTTACATCTCAAAATCCTCACCACTGGGCCAATGGCAACATCATGACAGATGGAGAAAAGATTGCAGTTGTCAGTGATTTCACCTTGCTTGGAACCACAATCAACACCTTTGGGACCAGCAGTCAAAGAGATGAAAAGATGGATATTGATCAAAAAGATGAATATTGTGTTGTAGTAAATCTGCTGTAAAGGATCTCTCTGAAGTACCGAGGAGCAATGATGTCAGTTTGAAGACTTAAAATGTGCTGGATTCAAGCCATGATCTTTTCAATCACTTGCTATGCATCTTAGAGCTCGTCAATAAAGAAGGATGAAAGAAGAATCTGTGCCTTTGAGTTGTAATGTAAGAAAAGGGCATTGAATATTCCATAAACTGCCAAAAGAACAAAAAGATATGTCTTGGAAAAGATGCAGCCACAGCGCTCCTTAGAGCCAAGGTTGAAGATTCATCTCAAATATTTTGGGCACGTAGTTAGGAAAGGGGTTATTCCTTGAAAAGGGGCATCATGCTTGGAAAGGTGGAGAGTTAGTGAAAGAGAGGAAGAACTCCAACAGTGAAAGAGGGAAAGACCCTCAACAGAGGTGGATTGACACAGTGACTGCAGCTCAAGTCAATGGGCTCAAGCATGTCAGAAATGATGAGGATGGTAGAGGGCAAGATAGGATTCAGATCTGGTTTTTAAAGTGTTGCTAATAGTATTCAATTCAACAGCACATGACAACAACATACCAAGATAGTTCAGTAAAAATATTTATTAGTCTGTGAATAAGAATTTAAACATGTATATAACTTTAAATTCTGAGGAAGTAAAACAAACAATTTTTAGTAATTTTATTGAGTCATATAATTCTATCGAATTTCTTAACAAAACAAATGAATCCGATCTTTATAAATTCAATATTATAATAATCTGTGATTATTGCCGAAGATGTACCAGTCTTAAATGTAAATGAGTTTGGGCAAGGATACTTTCTAATTGTCTTAGTATGAATTACAGTGCTTTAATTCTGTTTGCCAACCAAGGGGTTGATACCAAATTCAAGGGACATGATTTTATTTCTAAGAGAAAAAGCTCTATGAAACTTAGTCTAGTTACAATTACAAACAAAATAGGGAGAAGAAAACTAAATCTTAAAAGTATCTAGTCCAGGCGAGCTCTGGTGGCCTAGTGGCAAGAGGCTGCACTGCAATCTCAGAGGTACACGGTTCAAATCCACCAGATGCTCTGCTGGAAAAGGAGGAACAATCTCCTCCTGTATCAGTCAGATCTGATTTGACGGTACACACAAAAAATAATGAAATAAAATAAAGTTAAAAAAAAAAAATCTAGTTCAAATTAATTTTCTTAAAGGACTGAATAGTCCAGTTACCTTCTACTTCTATAAAAATAAACTATTTGGTGCTCGCTTCGGAAACATATACTAAAACTGGAACGATACAGAGAAGATTAGCATGGCCCCTGCGCAAGGATGACATGCAAATTCGTGAAGCAAAAAAAAAACACAAAACTATTTGACACATGTCAACCTTCTTGAAGAGGATCCCCTAACCCAATTTGGCATTTACATTTCATATCTGGAAGAAAAAAGCAGATTTTTTCTGCATGGTGACGTTTTCTTCTGGTGATTTGTGAGAATGGAGATATGTTAAATTTTATAGAAAATGAAGGATGGGGTGCAAAACCCAAAGACATTCCAATGTTAACATAATGACAGACTTTGTTACAAACAAATTCTTCACTCGGTCATTCAATATTTATTTATTGAGTGCTATGTGTGTAAGACAAAAAAAAAAAAACAAAAAAACCACAAACACAAAACTATGTCAGACAGAATGATAATACTATGCACCTTCATTCTGTATAAAAAAATAACACATTAATAAATATAATGTTTTTTTTAAAAAGCAAATTCAATTTATTTTTGATGTCTGCCGTATAACACACCGGGTAAAAGACTCCTTACTTCTATTTCTGCAGATTCCACCCGGTTTTCAATTATTTCGATACATTGTCTCTTAGCTGGTGGTTCTTCACTTATAACAGTTTCTTCAGCAATGTCTGTTGCTGGTACTGTTAATACTAAAACAAACAAACAAAATTACATATAAAGTACTTTACTTCAGATACCTATCACAAAAATAAACTAGTTCTCATATTGCTGAATATAGTTTCATTATTATACCTTTTGTTTATAAAAATTAGCATGTGTATATGAGATGTGCTGTGTCTTGCTTTTTTACTCTATGTATCTAGGGCTGGTTTATTTCTGTATCAGCACTTTTCTCTGCCTATCTGCACAACAGTCTACTGTGTGGACACAACATGCAAATTCTATTAATCATCTTTGCTAGTTTTTCTATTGAGTTATGTACTTAATTTCTAGTAATATTTTATGATTATAATGTAAATTTTAAGTATATGAATACATGCCATCATCATTTAAGATACAGACTGACCAGGCAGGTCAAAACCATGCAAAATAAGCTTATTAATCAAAATCAATTACTCTATGTCTTTGTCTATTCAACTTAATTACTCATTTTTCTATGACCTTTAAATTTTTTTGTTGTTGTTGAAATATTTCCAACTCTTACTATCAATTCTAAGGAAATGAATGGCAAAACCAGTTAGTTCTCTGTCATTTAAAACATTAGAAATATTGAGACTATGTTTGTCTTAAAAAAATTATCAAAAGTAGTTTGAACAGTCTTGCCTTCTCTGCCTCAGACTTTTAACACTGCTAAAGCATCTTTTCTATGTCATGCCAAATTGTCAGACGCCTTTAAAAGTCTGGGTCAGCTCCCAACACTTTACCCTTTGCATTTCCAATTTTATGACCGAACTCTGAAGGCTCCTTTAATAGTTAGCTTTTTCATTTGGCATTTTGTTGTTGTTTTGCAAGCATCACTTATGGGATATCTTTTTTTTTTTGTGTGGGGTTCCCGATCTTTAATTGGCATGTGTGTTTCTGGGGGAGGAAGTTTGTTCCTCAGCAGAGGCAGCCTTCTTGACATCTGGTCTGAGGGAAAAGGGGTGGGAGTCTCCTGGCCCTCCCGAGGTGACCAGCCCTCCGAGGGGCACACACCACTACTCCAGGGCCTTCACCAGGGCCTCGCCGGCCTCAATGCGGATCTGGATCTCCGCCCGCTGGGTCTCGTCAGCTGCCCCGGCCAACTCCGCCTGTGCCTTCTCCAGGTTCGCCCTGGCTGCCCCAACGTCCAGCATGTCAAGCGTTACGGCCTCTTCTGCCAGCAACTGCACGGAAGAGTCAGCGTTGACTGTGACAGAGCCACTGCTCACAAAGTACTTGCTGGTGGTGCCATCCTCAGCGTGGACCACTACCAACCCGGGCTTCAGAACCTGCAGTGTGGGCACATGGGACGGCAGGATGCCGAAGGAGCCTGTCTGCGTGGACACATCCACTTGGCGGACGTGGGCATCGTGGAAGATCACCTGGGTGGGCGAGGCGAAGGTGAAGGACATCTGCCCAGGCCGGCGGCCTCGGCGTAGGCGCGGGCCTGGCGCACGAGGCGTCCGAGGCCGGAGCGGCGGAGCGGGGCTGGCGGAGCGGGCGGCGGCAGGTGGACTCCGACGGAGGCGGGCGGCCTGGAGCGGGATATCTTTATACTTTTCCACAAAACCACTTCTCCCAATATGTCTATAAATTTACTTTCATTAAGTTCTTCTGGCAGTTTATTCGTCTTTTAAATAGCAACAGCATAAACATTTCCACTGACAGCTATTTCTTCTATGAATTTTTAATACTTGGTGCATTATCACTTTTGGTTTATTTGTTTTTTCACGTTTGCTGGCTACTCTGGGGGTTTTATTATCTATTCTTATTATTGTCACATTGGTTTAGCATGCTTTGCTGTCTGTGCATGAGCCAAACAAAGACTATCAACTGTCACAGACAGACTTCGAAAAAAGTGATAGGATTAGCTGCTGACAATGGTGCGCATCTATTATTTACACAGTGATTAATGGGATCAAGAGCTCTAAATACAGTAAGTGAAATTTGAACTGTGCTGCTGGAAATCTGGTGTTATTTAACCAAACAGTGGGAATGAAAACTTGTGCATATTCAATTATGCAAAGTAAGGACTGCTTTGGTATGTATGTATGTATAGGCACGGTTTAAATTTGGAAGGTAAGTCTTTTGACTATATTGCAAATATTTTTTTATTCATTTTTCTGAAATTGCTTTAGTGTTTTCACAAAAGTTGTCATTTTTACATGGCTAAATTTACCAAACTTTTATGTTTTCTGGATTTACGCATCCCCAATTTAATGTTATAAGAATATGCTTGCATTTTTACTTCCAACATTCTTAGTCTTGCTTTTTATATTTAAATCTTTATGCAACTTTGTATTTTTTTCCAGCCGTTTACCCTGTTCCCTGATACTATTTATTAGGGAAACCACCTTCTGCCCCCTCCAGTGATATGAGATACTATCTTTACCATAATTCTGTATTTTGGCTTATTGTCATACTTTGTATCTCTTTCATTATTGGGATGTCTTTTCCTTCTTTAGTGTGCACCATCATGGATTTCTACAAGTTTTTCTTGTCCTAGATATAACGGTCTTAGAAACTTTCAACAGCATACAAAATTTTACAATTTTATATTTCTCCTCAGTCTTTTAGTTTCACGGAAAATGCAATTTGAGTTTTTCTTTCATCCATCTTAGTATTCAGCAGGGAGCCCTAAGGGCTTAATGGTAAGGAAGTGAGCTGCCAACACAAAGGTATGAGATTCAAATCCATCAGCTGCTCCATGAGAGAAAGATGGGCAATCTTCTCCCATACGATTAACAACATCTAAAAACCGACTGGAGGATCGGTTGTGGGTCGGTTCCAACTTGATGGTACATAACAACTGTATTCAGTAAGGCTTTCAAAAAGGGGGGGGAAAAAGGAGCTCTGGTGGCCTGGTGGCAAGAAGCTGCACTGCAATCTCAGAGACATGCGGTTTGAATCCACCAGATGCTCTGCTGGAGAAGGAGGGGCAATCTCCTCCTGTACCAGTCAGATCGGATTTGACGGTACATGCACAAAAATTAATAAAAATTTAAAAAATTGTATTTAAAAGGAAAAAAAGCAGGGAAATCACCCACAGAAAAAAAAAAGGGAAAAAAAAACACTAAAAGCTGCCACAATGTTCCTATCAGAAATTCTAAGTTCAATTTTCTTTAGTTTTTTTCTTACATGGTATCTTTCCAAACCTATATGGTATCTCAAGTGCATAAAATAGTGTAGGGAATTACTGTCCAATGATAACCTTTTTTTTTATTGTGTGTGTGTGTGTGTGTGTGTGTACCATCAAATCAGATCTGACTGGTACAGGAGGACATTGTTCCTCCTTCTCCAGCAGAAAATCTGGTGGATTTGAACCGTGTACCTCTGGGATTGCAGTATACCTTCTTGCCACTAGGCCACCAGAGCTCGCCACCCAATGATACTTTTTAATGACTTACATGGTGTATTACTTATGGCAATATTCAAGATAATTTTCCATCAAGAATACAGTAAATTCTTTTCTCTACCTAGTATGTATTCCGAGGAATTAAGCTAACTTTAAGGCCTATATATTTGTTCCCATCAAGTTGATTCCAATTCACAGTGACCATGCAGGGCAGAGCAGAACTGCCTACAGGGTTCCCAAGGCTGTAAAAAGCAGCCTACCTCTTCCATCTACTGAGGAGTAGCTGGTAGCTTTAAACTGACTATCTTTTGGTTAGCAGATGAGTGTTTAACCACAGTACCACCAGGGTGTCAGTAAAATAAAAGTAAGTAATGAAGTCTTGCTACACATGCTAGCAATATAATTTACACCTAAAAGAAATTGTTTGGGAAATAATTTTGTTCATTAGAATATATACAAACAAAAAAAGAAAAAAGAAACACAAACTTTATGTTAATCGTTCACTACCAACCTTGTTGTCCATCTGGCATGGTCACAATGATGGGCTGACCTATTCCACTGGTCGGAATTGAGTGCAAATTTCCAAGCTGAATTCCATCTGTTACTATTGTGATGACTTGCTGACCTCCTGAACTAACTACTTGTTGAATTGCACCATCCACAGATTCTGCTGTGACTACTTCTTCCGTGGCCACTACTGGAAAAAAGTACGTAAAAATCAGTGGAAAAAATATAAAAGTATGAATAAAATGTTATTTTTCACTTTTTCATTGCTATCTTTGCTTCTTTTCTAACAGAAAATTTTTACATGGGTTTTATACAGAGTAGTGATGCAGATATCTATTGAAGAACTAACTATATGTCCCAAGATTTAATCATTAATTGGAAACACCCTTAAATACTGGTATTTTGTTAAATGATAATTAAATCTACTTTTCAAATGTAATGTCTATTTACTTATCTATGTATATGTGTGTTTAAGTAAATAATTTCGCTGTATTTTAGTTACAAAAAGTATAAAATCTCTTTAGGTCACAGGTATGATGACAACTACGGCAAGCTAATAAAATTCCAAGATCCAAAGAATTTTGTATGTACTTATATTACATTTAATATGTACATATGAGTTCACAGATATTTCAACATACAATGAAACATAGAATTTTATATTATTTAAATAGAATAAACATTACTTCCTTCTTTGGACTAAGTTATAAAAGGTTGCCTTGAAAACAACTGGCCTACAAATATAACATCTGTATAAAAATAATATAATATATATTTGACATTTACTTTTTTAAAAAAAATCCCAAAATACTCTGTACATAGACAGACTTGGAAAAAAGTGACACAATTTGCAACTGACCATGATGCACATCTATTAAACAGCTTTAAATGATATTTTAGAGACAACTAGAAAAATCTGAATACAGGCCATATCTCAGATAGCTTTGCTAAATTAATGATGCTTTATTTTTTTTATTCTTTTTTTTTAAGATTGTGATTTTAATAAAAGTCAACAGAAAGTTTGGGGTTTCAGTGTTGATGCTTTAAAGTTTTATAAATGAACTACAGATTTGTAGGAGACTGTCTTGACCCTTGGAAGGTAAGCACTGAAGTATTTAAGAATGAAGATGACATTAAGTCTGCAGTCTCTTTCAGATGATTTAACAAAATGAAAGACAGTGTCTGGGTGTGGTGCTTGTATGTGGGGACAGAGAGAAAAAGAGGGCATTCAGAATGTGGCAACATGTTAACAGTTGGTAAATATTGATGAAAAGTATGAAAGTTCACTATATTGTTCATCCAATTTTTCTGTGGACTTAAACATTGAGAGAAAATTCATTTTAAGAAATATTTTCAATATTACTCTTTGTTGGTGCAAATTGATTATAAAATTGTACAATCACTCTTGACAGCAGTTTGGTGTTTCCTCAAAAAGCTAAACAGAATGACCCAGATACTCCACTGCTTGGAATATACCCCAAAAGAACAAGAACTAAGGCACAGAGACTTTTACACCAATATTCATAGAGGTGTTATTCACCATCACAAGAACATGGAAATAGGCTAAGTGTCCAACCACAATGGAATAGATTGAGAAATTATAGTACATTCACACAATGCAATACTATGCAGCGTACAAAACAATGATTCTGTAAATTACTATCTAACTTGGTAGGGACTAGAGAGCATTTTGCTATGTGAGGTAACTCAGTCCCATAAGGACAACTATTGTATAAAATCATTATTGTAGAACAAGTATAAGGATCTAAGGGATGGAAGTGGAAGAGCAGAGGGGTAAGGACAGAGGGGGGTTGTTAATCGTAGGGTTGCAGTTTGATGGGGAAGGGGAGGTGAAGACAAAGAGAAAGACCCAGAGTGAAAAACAATGTGTGTGAGCTTTTAAGTAAACCAGTATATAATACAAATTTTTATTTAAATCAAAAAAGTATTGCCAAGTTTCAGGGGGAAAAAAGTAACAAAAACTATTTCTAAATTAATCTTTTTCAAGTGCCAAATGAGGCAAAACTTTTCAAAAAGTATTACTAAATAAAATCATTCTTGAAAGTCAAACTATTACTCAGACGAGTTACTTTAAAATATGTTCTTTGAGTTGCTACCCACTTACAGCAAAACAGCTCAACTGTCACAGAATATACAAAAAGAAATAGCGGTCATAAAACTATAAGCTCTTTTTTTAAAAAAAGGCTAGATAATCACTGAGGACCCTGGTTTCCACGGGTACTGATGGGTACACTGGACTGGCTTCTACCCTATTACTTTGCTACTTGTGCACAGTCACATATAAATTACAGAAAGTAACATTCAAATTCCAAACAACACTTATGTTTTGAGTTCTCTCATTATTTTTCTTTGCCTTTAAACCATAATTTGGCTTTATAACCAAGCACTTAAGAAAATGTCAAGAAGGTAACTACAAAATAAAAGGTACAAAACAGTAATATATTCAATAGGGCAACTACTAAAGTTTTCAACCACATTAATTATTGCTTTGATTTTTTTTTTAAAATATCCATATGAAAAAGCATTGTCCACTCTGGTTGAAAACCACTTACAGATAATAAATATCTTTTAAAGCATAATCTACGTAAGAAATTTCTGAGATCACACACAATAAAGGCATAGCTCAAGAGCTTTCATCTTTTTTTCAATGACTGTCATTAACATAATAATATTCTTGCCTTTCATCTAAAAAGTTCTCTTTTTAAGTTGTGATATAAGGAATTTAAAAATGACTAAGAAACCTTTACATAAGAAAACAAAGAGCCTCCCAGAAACTCTACTGATAACCTAAGAGCAAAATGTTGATACATATAAGGAAAAAATAAGTTTAATAACTAAAAAATTTTCATATATATATATAAAACTCACTCACCTGATTATCTCTAAACAGAAATATCTACTATCAAATATTCACTGATCTAATTCAAAAGTTGTAATATTAAAAGAATATTAATAAATTAATAATAAACAACATCTTTGTAAGCATCTCTCTTATTTAACAAGAATTTGAATTCTAATATCCTTGTTGTTGTTGTTGTTATATGACATCAAATCGCTTGTAACTCTTAGCAACCCTATGTACAATAGCTCTGAACTCTGCTGTATCCTGAGCCACTGTCTCTGATACAACTACCCCCATTACTCCAGTTACTGTGTCAATCCATCTCATCCAGGGTCTTCCTCTCTTGCACTGTCGTCCCACCCTTCTAAGCATGATGTCCTTCTCCAAGGACTGGTCCCTCCTGGCCACATGCTCAAAGCATGTAAGACAGAGCTTCAAAATCCTTGCTCCAGGGGGGAGGGATTGTGTAACAATGAAAGAATTTTTCCTTTACTCTTCAAAGAGAAGAGCAAACTGAGGGGGAAGGTAGGTGGTAAGGGAGAACAGTGAAACAACGAATGAATAAAAATTCAAAGTCCCTATAAATTTTCATTAAAATTAATAATAATTAAAAAAAAATCCTTGCCGCCAGAGAGCAGCCTGATTTCACCCTGTCTAGGACAGATCAGTTTGTTCTCTGGGCAGTCCATGCTCAATACTCTTCTCCAGCACCACAACTCAAAGGCATGAATTTTTCTTCGGTCATACTTAGTCATTGTCCAGCTCTTTGATGCATAACAAGCAACTGTGAAGACCATGGATTGGATCAGGTGCACCTTAGTCTCCAGACATTTGTCTTTTGATTTCCTGGCTAATGCTACCAAAAAGTGTTGACTGTAGAGCCAAGCAATCTGAAACTGTTAATAATATCAGTCTCTTTGGGGTATATTCCCAGTAGTGGAATTGCTGGGTCAAATGGTATCTCTATTTGCAACTTTTTGAGAAAGCGCCACACCGCTTTCCACAGGGGTTGCACCATTTTACACTCCCACCAACAGTGAATAAGGGTTCCAGTTTCTCCACAACCTCGCAAGCATTTGTTGCTTGCTGTTCTGTTAAATTTTGCTATTCTGACTGGGGTGAGATGATATCTCATAGTTGTTTTGATGTGGATCTCTCTTAGAGCTAGGGAATTAGAACATTTCTTCATGTGCTTGTTGGCCATCTGAATGTCTTCTTCAGTGAAGTGTCTGTTCATATCCTGTGCCCAGTTTTCTATTGGATTATTTACCTTTATCTTGTTGTGGTGCTCAAGTATTTTATAAATTTTAGATGTAAGTCCCTTATCTGACATGTCATTACCAAACACTTTTTCCCAGTCTGTGGGGACAAGATGGGAACTACAAACTTGCTATTTAATTTTCTGTAAACAAATCTTTCTTCTTTTTTTTTTTTTAATTTTATTTGTATGTGTGTGTATATACACCATCAAATCAGATTTGACTGGTATGGGAGGAGACTGTTCCTCCTCCACTAGTCCCAAATTTTTCTTAAAAATAAAATCAAGTTTATTTTTGGTGAGCTCTGGTGCCCTAGTGGCAAGAGGCTGCATTGCAATCCCAGAGGTGCATGGTTCGAATCTACCAGATGCTCTGCTGGAGAAGAAGGAGCAATCTCTTCCTGTACCAATCAGATCTGATTTGACAGTACTCAAAAAAAAAAGTTTATTTTTTAAAAAGTGTTAAAGTGCGTCCAGTCCCCCTTCCCCTTCATCTCAACCCTTCTGTTTAGCATGAAGCAGCCAGTGAGTCTGCACCTCTATTCCCAAATGGGAAACTCACAAATGAAAAAAGACAATCTTTTTGTAAAAAATAAATAAATAAATAAAATTAATCCCCATTAGACTATGCCTACAATCTCCATGTCTTTTCCAGTCCCCACCAGATCTTTCTCATTTCCTTTACTCACTCCCTCCACCCACTAAATTGTGCAACCCTGTGCTTTCATCCTTACCTATCCACCCATCTGCTTCTACCCTTTAGCCCCATGGATTGCCATACAATTTTTTTACAATTAAAAATTAAAAACACTAAATATGTAGGGGGGGGAAGACTATGTCATTCTAATTGCCAAGAAAGGTAAAAAGATAGCAACTTCATATGTATTTACCTACTTTCTTGACAAAAAAGTCACAAACTGGTAAAATAAGGACCAAATAGGGCATGCAGATATGGTTTTTTCCTAGTCATCAAGTTTGTTATTTCAGTTATTTGCAAGCATTTAATTATCAAATGTAATATTCTTTTAAAATGTAAGTTTTTTAGTTTCTCATGAAAAAAGAGAATATGCTAATACTGAGCACATAACTACCGTCCATGCATGAGAAGCCATGTATGTGTCTGCACTGACCACCACACATTTCAACCTTGCACATTTTTAGCCTTTTATGTTACCTACTTGGCTTTACCAAGTATCTGAATCTGCACCTTTTAAATGTAGACAGATATCTGGACTTATTTTCTAACCTGGAGTTTCTGAAGAATTAGATAATGGAGCAGATGCTTCAGCTAAGGCAGCTAATGTAGCTAATACTGATGTAGAAGAGTTTCCAAACTGAACAGCAGATACACCCGTTTCATCTACAAGAAAGGAAAAAAAATTTTTAAGCCATTTAATCTCAAATGCCTATTTTTGATACTCTATTTCATTCAACTCTTAAATGAAGCTTGAATGCTATTAGTTTTCTAAAAGATAAGCTTGGATAGCATTAGGTTTTGAAAGGTAATATTGCAGTGTTTTTGCAATATTAACTTTCGTTAGATCATTATAACTCATAGGAATTTGTTCTTTCTAAATGAACTGAAGACCAAAGTAGTTGATAAAATCTTACCCTCATTCTCCAACAGTTCTTTCTTAAAAGGATGAATACCTACTAAAACCATAACTATCCAACAGCTATCCTATAGGCATCTCAATACCTGTGGCCTTGGATGGATTTTCTGAAGATACCAGACCTGTTAGGTTCACCACCCCTCCAGGTCCAATGATGAACTGTGGTGTTGCAGCATGTATTGTCACAGTGTCAGGACTCTCTGGGTTTGTGTTGATTTGGTTCTGCATTGCAATCTGTAGGACAAATTGCCACAATGGTTTCAGAATTATAACAAGTACATAAAACACAGCTCCTCAATGTAGTATAAACATATACCAAAAAAATTATATACTTCACCTTAAGAAGAATCTTACAATATAAATTGGAAATCTGTATTTCTCATCTACAGTGTTAAATTGTAGTCAGGACTGTATATCCTAAATTCCTCTATTAGGTAAAACAGCTAAATTCCATGAAAGAAAAAAACAGGTATCTGAAAAGCTATAAAGAAAAGAGATATACTGGACCCTATGGCTACAGAAATATAATCAGCAAACTATTTCTTCTCATTTAACATCATATAACTTTATACATATAAAGGGGTCTTTGGTGGCCTAGCGTTAGAAGTTGCATTACCAGCTCAAGAGCATGCAGTTTGAATCCACAAGCTGCTCTGCTGGAGAAAAATAGACAATCTCCTTCAGAGTTATCTACAGCCTCTGAAAAATCTCCACTTAAGGGTCAGCTATGACTGGTTCCATCTGAAAAGCAACTAACCACAACAGGCATAGAAAATATGCCCTTCCAAATTACTTCCCCACCTTTAACCCCATCCTCCCAAAACTGTACTCCCTAGTAGTAAGGAATAAAAAGCATAGCAAAAACATGTTTTAAATAATTAGGTGAAGTTCAATGGAGCCAAACAGTCTGGGAGAGGAAGAGTTCTACTTGGAAGGGAAACAAAAAGATAAGAAAGAAGAAGAGGTACTAAGTAAAAAAGATAGTTTATACCAATGTCATCTAACTAAAGGGAAAAAAGTAATATTGGTTACTAGAAAAATCTGCTGAGAATCAGAAATAACCATGCCCTGCAAATAGACTGATGAGAATGGTAAAATACAAAAGAAACAGATTAGCAGTAAATAGTGCATCACTCACTAAATAGGTATTATTATGGTTGCTAAAAAACAAATAAACACACACACACCAACATTTTTAACAGAAGTAAAAAAGATGTTGAAAAACCTGTAAAGTATTAAAATATACAACAACAGAAAATATCTAGAAAGGGAGCTCAGGAACTTGAAGCACAAAGAATAATCACTTTACCTAGTTTTCTGATGCTACATTTAAAGACGAGTCATAGAATCAGAAGCATGAACAATAATGAACAAAGAATAATACAAAGGACTGCCTGAAATAACCAAGTCCAAAGTTAAAAACTACAAGTTAAATAGTCCAAATCATCCACATGACTGAGCTCTATTAACAAAGTTACTTTTGTTTTTCATAAATGTAAAGCCAAAAGTTACCTGTAATATCTCTGCTAAATCTTCATTCCCATTGTCTATTGATATATCAAAGGCAGTTTTACAAAATTTACTTTGTGAGTGTACATCAGCACCGTATTTGATTAAAAGTTCTACCACTTCTTGATGATTGTGTTCCGTGGCCCAATGTAGAGCTGTCATCTTTAGCATGTCTTTTGCATTGACATCAGCACCATGCTACAAAAAATATTGCAAAATAAGAGAATGTTAAATATGAAATTAAAGCAAGAGTCTGCTATCATCAAAAGCAACTTTTAAAAATATAATACATAAATTCCAGAAATCATCTCCACCCAATTTTTCTATCAGGGTGATTTTCCTGCTTTCCTCCTAATTTCACAGGAAAACAGCTTCCCCCTAAACCTAAAGTCATCTAGTCTGAAGTACTAAAAAGGCATCAGAAGGAAAAAAAGCTATTAATTATTCCTCAAAAACTCTTTTTTAATGTTGTTATAGGAGCTGGTTACCTAGTTCTTCACTTAACCAAATGTATATTGTGGTTTCAACTAGTACAACATAAATAATTAAAAGAGACTATCTCAAGTTAGACTTGATGGTAATGAGTTTTATCTAGAGCTAGGCTATTCAATATGATAGTCACCAGACATAGGTGGTTGGTTATTAAGCAGTTTAAATATCTGAATAAAAATGTGCTGTAAATGTAAACACATACTGGATTTCAAAGACTTAGTACAAAAACAGTATGTAGACAGAAAGATAAAATATCTCATTAATAAGTTTATATTAATTATTCTGAAATGTTAATTTCTTAGATGTTACTGGGTTAAATAAAAATTAAAAAGTTTAGATGCAGTTACTAAAAAACTACTATCTGGAGATTTGGAGAATATTAATGAAGAGTCCAGGGAGCTCTGGTAGCCTAGTGGCAAGAAACTGTGCTGCAATCTCAAAAGGCACAAGGCTCAAATCCACCAGATGCTCCATGGGAGAAGAAAGGGTTATCTCCTCTCATGGGATTTACAGTGTCTGAAAACCTGCTGGAGTTATCAGCTATGACTCAATGGCACACAACAACAAATGAAAAGTCTAGGATAAAAAGAATAGAGATTATGTCTAAATTTCCCTCTGTATTTCAGAATTTTCTGTATATCCTTTGCCACTTGGGTGATTAAAAAGAAAATTCCCATTTGTTTGTTAATAATTCAGCCTTAATTTTACTGTCTATAATCATTTTATAGTGTATGGAGAAGTTAAAAGCACACAAGACAAACGTATACCTCCTTACCACAGGGTGGCCTGAAGGTGTAAAAACAATCAAATGGTGGATTAAACAAGACTGGACAGATCTAAAGATAAGTCATTCCCAACCCTCCTTCCCACATACAGAGGAAAACTTGAATAAGGCAACTTTGATGGGCTTACGTGTACTTTAACAACTGAGGCAATGAATAAACATTTAAATCCTCTTCTGCTTTTTATAAAACCGTAACAGCTTTAAGAATTCACTTCCAAGAGCAAGGAGGAAAAAAATGCATACCTTAAGTAAAACCTCTACTATTCTGGCATGGCCCTCAGAAGCTGCCATATGTAATGGTGTCCGGTCCACTTTGGTTCTGGCATCCCTACTTACACCAGCTCGGAGTAGCACTTCTGTGGTGGAATAATGGCCGTACTGTGCTGCTAGATGAAGTGGAGAAGTTCCCAGCTATGACACGGGGGAAAAGAATTCACATTTATAGTCACATGTCTAATACTATTTTTTTATATTTTCTGTTAGCAGAGTAAGCAGATTAGATTATCTGTTGAGTAACGCAAAACTTGAACTATCTGTGCTTAGTAGATCTACTTCATACAGGTCTCAGTATCAATTTAATGGGCAGGTAGTGGGCAATTTCAGACTAGGCTATTTTGTTTCTATCCTGACTCTCATTTCTCATAGAGAAATAATTTCTTACAATTTTTTTTATCTTTCAGAATGACTCTTAAATATTATAAGGGTTTTCTCAAAAACATAAAAGGCCAGATTTAGTGTTCCAGTAGGGTCTGGTAGAGAAGCTCCCAGGCTTTGCATATATAAACTTAACCTACCTTTCTATCTACACACACACACACACACACACACACACACACACACACACAGTGTGATACTGAGGAATGTTATAGCATGTGTCTAGTTTTATATAACAAGTCTTCCCTTTTTTTTTTTGACCTCAGTAAAATTGGCTGTGTGGTGCTAAACAAAACTAACTGGTATTCCATTCAATCATTATCACTCATATATAATTTGTTTTAGGGCATTTCATTACAATACATACAATGGGACTAATCTCTTCCTCCTTGTGATTCTCATTAACATCAATCCTCCTCAAAAAACAAACAACACTTCAAATCCTTCTCTATCTCATCCTACCTTCTGAGTCTTAATGCTGGGTAAATACTCTCCTCTTGTTCTTATGAGGGTAATTATTCTAAGGAAATGGCTTCTTGTGTTATACCTTCCAGGCCAGTCTATTACAGCCAGTCCAGCTATAAAGTGAGCAGTGGGAATAAGTTTATTCCAGGTTCAAAGGCTGACTACTGACTACTGAGAAAATCCTTATAATTTTTAAGAGTCATTATAAAAAAGATTCTTAAGAAATTCTTTATTTCTCCATGGTTTATCAAATTTTTTCCATAAAAAGTCCTTTCTAGGCTCTTCGATCCCAGTATTTCTTAAAAGCATTTCAATAGCCCATTTAATAACCATGATTCTCCCCCACCCCCCAAAGTAACAGTATATTCTACTTTGTGGATTTCTCTTTTTAGGTGTTGAAAGTGTGTGTGTAAGGGGAGCTCTGGTGGCCTACTGGCAAGGAGCTGCAGCTACAATCCCAGAGGTGCACGGTTCGAATCCACCAGATGCTCTGCCGGGGAAGGAGTGGATGGTATAACCATCTCCTCCTGTACCAGTCAGATCTGATTTGACAGTACACTCACACACAAAAAAAGAATGTGTGTGTGTGTGTGTGTCTAAAATCAAAATAATAAGATGAACGTCTCTGGAATCACCACTATGGTCTAAAAAGAAAAGTCAGTTTTAAATGGTAATTTAAAATCTTCCCACTAGCCACTTCCTCAACACAAGTTTCCCCCTCAGTCCCTAAGAAATGACTATTCTCAATTTTGTGATAATCATTTTTCTGGGTCGTTGGTTTGTTGTTGTTTTTTTAAAATCATTTATGTATCTACAGAATAAGTTTAACTTACCTGTTTTGACCTTTATTTAAGTAGAATCATATCACATGATTCTTTTTCTGTGACTTATCTTTTGTTAATCTTAAATTTATGAGATTCACCCATGTTGGCGATCTAAGAGTAAATTTCATTAATGTCTTAGTGTAGATTTTATTACATTTATCCATTCATTTTCTTTGCTCTATAATATTTTATTGAATGAGTAAACCTGAATTAATTTAACCAATTTACTAATGAGCAGTTGATTGCCTCTAAATTTTTATTACCATAAATAATGCTACTGCTAAATAATAAAGTCTCATATATGTCTTAGGGAGCTCCAGAAGTCTAGTGCTAAGAAGTTATGTTGCAATTCCAAAGGCACTTGGTTTGAATCCAACAGCTGCTCCTCAGGAGAAGCTTCTCCTATGTGATTTCCTGCCTCTGAAGATCAGCCATGCGTGCTCTGGTGGCCTAGTGGCAAAAAGCTGCAACTGCAAGCTCAGAGGTGCACAGTTCAAATCCACCAGATGCTCTGCTAGAGAAGGAGGAACAATCTCCTCCTGTACCAGTCAGATCTAATTTGACGGTACACACAAAAAATAATGAAATAAAAAAATAAATTAATAAAAATAAAAAAATTAAAATAAAGATCAGCCACGTTTCACTTCCAACTCGAGTGGCACCCAAAGGCATAGCATATATGTCTTAGGTGTATAAATAAGAGTTTCCTTTTTGTTGTTGTGCGTACTGTTATATCTGATGCAACTGGCACAAGAGCAGATTACCCTTCTTTCTGTAGCAGAGCATTTAGTGGATTTGAACTGCGTGCCTTCAGAATTGCAACGCAAGAGTTTCTTTTGGAAATAAACTTAGTACAACCATAGTATTTGCATACTACTTTCAAAGCAATTATCAATTCAAGCCAAATGGGGTTTTTTGGTTGCTGCTGTTGTTTTTCAAGCCAAATGTTTAAGAGTTCTCATTTTACCACCTCCTCACCAATGTTTGGTATTATCAAACTGTTTTCTTAAAATATAATGACATTTCATGGCTTTTAGTTTTTAATACCCAATTATTTTCATGTTTTCTAGCCATTCAATTGTTCTCTTTGGAACAGTATTATCAGTCTTTTATCCATTATCCTACTGCTTTATTTGTATTTTTTTATTACTGATCCATAGGAATTCTTTATGTTCTAGATACTATTCTTTCCTATGATTTTTTTAACACTACATTGTGTCTAGATAACAATTCTTTCATGGATCTTATTTGAGATTAGTTAGGCTACTTGATTCTACAAGCATCATCTTTAATCTGTTGTCAGCCATTATTTCTTTAAAACATTTTATCTCTATTTTCTCTCGCTGTTCTTCTGAATCTATGATTAGAAGTATATTAGACTTCTTCATACTACCCTTTATAATGCAACTTCTCTTTTATATTTCCCATCTATTTTTCTTGTGCTGCATTCTGGGTAATTTTTTTCCCCTATCTTATCCTTCGGGTTATGCATCTGAGAGCTGGACAATGAATAAGGATAAACAGAAGAAGTGATGTTTTTGAACTGTGGTGTTGGGGAATACTGAGATCTGTTGTTTGTAGAGTCACTTTGAGTCATACACTGTCAACTTGATGGCACCTAACTTACAAAAAAACACTTCCATTAGGTAGTGGCCTGGTCCACAGGGAGCTGCACTGCTAGCTAACCCAGGGGTGCTAGGTGCCTCTCTGGTGGTTTGAATGCACCAGCAGCTCCAGAAAAATGGGCAATCTCCTGCTATCCAACTTACAACCTCCAAAAACCTATTGTAGAGTCAGCTATCAGTCAGTTCCAACTCTACAACAATTACTTTATTTACTATCCTTCAGTAAACACAGCTTGTCTTTTATGGTGTCTAATCATTTGCTATTAAAATCTTAGCTAAAGTCGTATGAACTTCCTCTGTTATTGTTTCAGCAGGTTATTGTTAAAGTTACCCTATGTAGTTATTTGTTTTATAATGTGTTTGTTTTTGGTTTTTTTTTTTACTTGAAATTAAACTTGTGGCTATAAAGTCAGGGATGATTCTATATACATTTGCTTCTGCCAAGAACCTACAGTACTTTCTTGCTCTTATTTAATACCACAGAATATGTTGCTGTTGTTTTCAGGTGCCGTCAAGTCAAGGACAACTCACAGCAATCCTATGAACAACAGATCTGAACCCTGTCCTATCCTGTGCCATCCTCATCCTCTCCATCGCGGCATCACTGTATCAATCATCTGGTTGAGAGTCTTCTCTCTTTTACCAACCCTCTACTATTCTAAGCATGATGTCCCTCTCATAGCAACATGCCCAGCATATACTTTTTCAGAAGGCACATGTATGTATGAGTTCAAACTATAAATATGTACAAGACATCACCTGTAATTCCAAATGTTCATCAATAATTTTTTTCCTCTCTTTATTCCTCTATTCATGCCTTGGTTCAAGTCAGATAATTTTTCTAAAAGTTCCCTAGGGAATGGGGCAGGGGCAGGTAAGAGAAGGAAGAGGGTATTTTTGGCTTACTCTTACACTGAAGTTACAGTTCTTTGGGATTCCAGAATTATGAGACCCCAAAATTATGAGAAAAGATTTCTTATCAGACTTCTTTCTCTCCATGAACAGTCCTTTGGCTTTGTAATAGGTATCCATGCCAGAAGGGTGGGGAAATAATGGGTAAATTTATTAAATTCAGCAAATCTTTTCACAGCAAAATTTCTCTGATGCCAGTTTTCACTAAATTTTTCAAGCTGATAATCATCAGTGAACGAACCTAAGACTTTCCAAAACTGTTTCATAATCATCTATCTTTTAGAGATGTTGCTGTGGTTGTTGTTGTGTGTCACAAAGAGTTAGAACCAACCCATAGCTGACGCTCCAGTGGATTTACAGAGGCAGTTAGATTTCACAGGAGGAGATTGCCCTTCCTTCTCCTATAGAGCAGCTGTTAAATTTGAACCACAGGTAGGAACCACAAGACTTTGAGATTGTAGTGCAGTTTCTTACCACTAGGCCACCAGATACTGAAATATTCATGGATGAAATTATATGGTTCCTAGAATTTAGTTTTTAAAACTACAGGGAGATCCACCAGATGCTCTGCCGGGGAAGGAGGGACAATCTCCTCCTGTACCAGTCAGATCTGATTTGATGGTACACTCATACAAAAATAATATAATTTAAAAAAAAAAACAAACCCAAAAAACAAAAAACAAACTACAGGGAGGAAAAACCCTCAATTAAAAAAAAGAAGAAGAAAAGAAAAAAAAAGCACAAAAACCAAAAGCAGAAAAAGCAGATAGGTTTAACAGAGAAACTAAGATTTGTCATGCTTTGATAATTTTTAAGATGGGTAAGAATTTCAGCTGTTGCATGCTTGAAATATTTCATAATTAAGAATATTTTTGTTTTGTTTATAAGATAAAAAGGTACAAATAATCCAATATGTAAATTAATAAAATCCATCATATCTACTTCTTATCAGTTGTTGTTGTTAAGTGCCATCAAGTCATTTGCGACTCATAGCGACCCTATCTATGTACAGGAGCCCTAAACGCCATTCTATCCTGCGCCAACCTCGCTGTCTCAAACACATTCATTCCCACCACTCCACTCATAGTATCGATCCATCTCATTGAGGGTCTTCCTCTCTTGCGCCGTGGGAGGGTTAAATCAGATTCCCATTTATTGATACTACCTAAGGCCTTCTTTTTTTTTTTTTTTAATTTAAACCCAAAATCAGAAGTATTCTGCCTTTCTCACACTTGTCTTTTAACGTTACCCATAACTTGTTTCCTTTCCTTTTGTCCTATATAGTCATGTTTGCGATCATTTTAAAGTATCAGCTATAATAGAAACTTTCCTACCTTTAAGCAGTCCTAAATATAACTCTAATCTTTAGCTCCTATTTTCTCAATTATAAACTTCACCAGTGCTATTTAGAAGACCTATAAACTTCAGACTATATTTTACATATATCCTACATTACTGTACTTCACAGTCTAAAAGAAAAACTTTGTGAAGAATATATTTTAACAAGTTGTCCAATTTAAAAACAAACCAAAAATTTTCATAGCCCATTTGTCTTAGAAAACAGCTATAATTCTAAAATAAGGGGGGAAATAATTTTTACCATTTATAAATCCAATATCAACTGAGGTGTTAGCTTAAAGTTGGCTTTTCTAGCCATTATGTTAGCCCCATTTGGTCTCAAACCATCTTAACTGCAGGCACATAGTCTTGCAAATCATCAACAGCTGTGGAACTAGGATAAGAGAGAAAAGTGCTTCCCATACTCAGCAGCAAGACTTGAGACCAGAGCAAGACTCTGGTGAGAGTTAAGACCCTGGTGATGGTGATGGAAAGACTATGGCACTGCTGTGGACAAACTGTGGCAAGGTGTAACCAGAGGGGCCCTGAGATAAAGGCCAGAGTTAAAGGTTTTGCTGTTCTTGTCAAATGATGGAAGGAAAAGCTAACTGCTGAACTGAAACCAGAGCCTGGACTAATTGAGGAATTGCACCTTGGGATTGCTCAGCTAAAACCTAAATTTGCACTGAGTGATATTCTTTGCCTCCTCTACTCTTCAACTTAATTCCCTAATAAACTCCACTTTTGGTACCACAACTGTGAGTAAAGTCTGTGAGTCAACACGAATGTCAGAACCAAATAATTGGTAGAAAGAGGACCAGGAGCACGGGTGAGGTCATGTCTGACCATGTAGATAACTATTTGCTACTATGGATATTACTGATGGGGACAGTTCACCTTTATGAACTGTGGAGAAGTCAGACTCTGCCACAACCACTTCCATGGTACTGCATTGCCTCCTTTCACACCAACAAACTTACTGGCAAAAATCTTAATATGGGAACAGAGGGAGGGTGGGGGAGAAACCACCACATTAAAATCATTTTTACCCAGTCTGTAGTGAAAGGAGCTCCATTTGCCATCAAAATACGAACTTCATCATCTTGACCAGCTCGTGCGGCTTCTAAAAGCTTCTTTCCCAAATCTACCAGGGACATCTAAACAAAATAAAATGAACATCAACATCTCCATTCAAATTATGACATCACTCTCCTCCCTCTTATCTCTATAAATAAACCATTTCTCAATTTTCCTTAAAAAAACTGTGGTATGGTTAATCTAAAATTTCAGTACATACAAAAGCAATTTACATTCTAATTTTTTGAGTGGCTATGCTTTTACATTTCTTTTCATATTGAATAATAAAAAATAGTTTGCATTTTCCAGGAATAAAAAGAGCACAGAAAGAAAAAGAGGTATGGAGTATGGAGCAAAGAAAAGTTGACCTAAAATGTTAAACTGGCAACTAGTATTTTTACTAGATAAAATTGTTTCATCACAATATATAGAAATAAGGTAACAAGAAATCACTGTTGCTGATATAAATTAATCTTTTTTTTTGCCAAATGTGTTCAGAATTTTAAAATATGTACTTCCCCCCTACTTTTTACATGCAATGTACAAAAATTCTTCCAGAAGAGATAGAAAAGTGACTATCAATGGATGGATAGATTATCTGTATGTAAGTGAGTGGCATCGTGGGTTTACTGGCCACAATTTGGCTTCCCTAGACCATTATATTTAATCTGATCCAGTTTCTTCAATTCTGCCTGCCCTGCAAACAAGTGGTCCACCTACATCATCAACAGCTATGTGAGCCATTTCTTCCTCATGCAAACAGGGTATGTTAGTCTATTCACAAGGAGACTGGCTAGTCTCACCATGAACTGAGCAGATTCAGCAGCAGAAAGTGGGGATCTCAACACCAGGAAAGAAAAGGAAGCAGAGAATGCAGCTCGTCTCTTTTGGGCCAGAGATTCCTGCACCAGAGATTATATTTTACAGTTAACTGAGAAGCTGTTGGGACAAAAGTATTGTATGTTGCTGCAAACTGAACCGCTATCGAGGCTGACAGATTACATTTTTTTGTTAATGTGAATTATAACCTAATAGGCATTGTATTTGAAAAGCTTCCTGAATTGAGGGATTTTTTTTAGCTTGTTGTTAACCTAAATTGTGGCCTGCTGACTTCCCTAATAAATCCCCTAACTGTGAGCATGGTTCTATGAAGTTTATGTGGTCACTACACTATCTTTTGGACACAGTAAATAAATGTAGGAGCATAAGAGGACATGCCTAACGTCATGGGAATTCATTTTGTATTCTAGCTGCTGCTGATGGAGTCATTTCTCTTATCGAAGTAAAAGAGGTCAGATATATAGATCTCCTACTCAGTAAGAAAAAAGAAACCTTGATCCATATTACTGTAAGGATGGAGCTTTAAGATACACATTGCTTGAGATAAGTCCATACTAAAGGGCAAATACTAGATATAATGTTATTGTTGTTGTTAAGTGCCGTTGAGTCGCAGGCGACTCATAGCGACCCTATGAAGGAGAGTCCTCGATGCTTAGGTGCCTTTCATCCTTTCTCCAGGTTCATAGGGTTTCCGGAGGCAAGCTATTATGGAAGTAGATGCCACTCCTCCTTCCAAGCTTGTTTTAATCGGAGAGCTCCACCCCACTCTCTGTCCACATTGGGTAGCCAACCATTAATGCATTTGACACATCCGTGTCACAGTGTTCAGCCTCACAGCAACCACAAGTGACCGCGGGACGGCAACTTGTACACCAGGGCTATACAATATTACTTCTATTAAAAAATAAACACAAGCATACATATAGACCAAAGTTTCTTAAAAGTTACCAGGTTCATATGCACACCCATGTTCATTGCAGCTTTGTTCACAATAGCAAGGAGTTGGAAACAACCTAAGTGCCCATCAACAAACGAATGACTAGAGAAGCTGTGGTATATTCGCACAATGGAATACTATGCTGCATTAAAAAACAAGGAACTCATGCAATATTATTCAAAATGGTTGACTTTGGAGAACATTATGCTGAGTGAAATATCCCAGTCACAAAAGGACAAATATTACATGATGCCACTGTTGTAGAATGGGACTGTCCTTGGGGTTAGGGAGACACTGAGTAAGATGGGTTCAATAATGTATACTGCACTGAAGCAGAGGAGGGAGAGAACCGTCTAAAAGAGAGATGTAACTGGGTATTTCTGTCATCACAGGAGACTAGAGCGAGGGCTGCATGGTGGAGGGGACCTGGGGGAGGGTTTGTAAAACAATGAAAGAATCTTTTCTTTTACTTTTCCATAATTTTTGGACTCATGTACTTATAATTTGTTAGTCAAATTTGTGTCTTCTAGGTTGCAACACCCCCATGATACATCTTGAAGGATATGTACATGTACAGCCAAGCACAATCAATAAGAGTGCATCTGAATTCCAAAATCAATCTCCATAATAGTCTATGTGTTTCCTACTGCCAAAGGGGCCCTTTAGAGTAGTGAGAGAAGATCTTCACCCTGAAACCCACAGCGTCCCTTTTCAGCAGGAAGTAGCTAAGAGAATACGCCGTCCCCTTTTCCTTATGACTCAGGGTGAAGTCTCTCTCAGGGAGGAGTGATAGGGAATGGCAAAGGATACACTGACAAAGAAGATTAATCAGAACTGGCTTTGACAAGCACTGTGGCATTTGGACAAGAACAAACTGGGAGGAGGGTAGAGAATAGTGCAACAATGAATGAGTGGAAGCCCAAAATCTCTGTAAATGTTTATGAAAATTAAAAAAAAAAAGTTCCCAGGTTCAAGGGGAGCTCTGGTGGCCTAGTGGCAAGGAGATGCAACTACAATCCCAGAGGCGCACGGTTCGAGACCACCAGATGCTCTGCCGGGAAAGGAGGGGCAATCTCCTCCTGTACCAGCCAGATCTGATTTGACGGTACACTCACGCAAAAATAATAATTTTTTTAAAAAAAGTTACCAGGTTCAGGAGAGAGAGTATAAAAGGGGATGGTAAAGAGTACTGAGTTCCAGTTTACAGAGTTTGCAAGTTGTATTAATTAATGAGCATCCAGACACACAGCTGATTATTCCAAGTGATGTAAGTTGCACAATCATGAAGAAAAGGAAAAAAAAATCCAAACCACCTGACTTTACAAAAGTTATGTGATAGACATATTTATAACAACGGAAGAGTAGCTAGGGAGGCTGCTTATATGTACAACCAAATACCTCATGGGATTTGGTACTTTGGTTTAGAGATTTAGGATCACAGTTTCATGAAGAAAGTCAGCTAGTTGGCCTAATAAAATGTTTAGTGCTCTGTTCTCCATCTTGAATCGTGTGATGCCTGGGATCTTAAAAGCTAACTACTTGCTGCCACCTACATCGCAATAATTGGTCTCTGTTCACAAAGGCCAACAAAGGAGAGTCAGTAATAGTTGGAAGAAGTGCATTATTGTCAGAGATTTTGATCAAAGATTCAATAGGAGAATCCTAATCAAAAGGGAAGAAGAATAAAGCATCAAACCTTAAAAAAATTCAGTCTTTTTGGTGTCATAGAGACTGGATTAACTATTGTCCAGAGATAACCCCAAAAAGGAAAATATTCCCTGACATCTTCATAAAACTAAGAAAGCCAAATGTATTGTGAGGGAATCAATTCTGACTCTGCAATCTTGTCTGACAGAAAATGGTCCATATATTTGCAAAACTTTAAATCTTTACAGAAGCAGACTGAACTTGTGAAAACATGAACAAAGCTTAACATAAATCTAGCTGCAAAATTATAGTATCTTAAATACAAAACACATATTTTAAAATGTTTTACGTGCTGTTGTTAATTCCTGTTGAGTCTATTCTGACTCCTGGCAACTTCCTTTTTAATAGAAAAAATTACCCAGTTTTGTACCATCTTCATGATCAGTGGCATATTTTAAGTCTATTTAAATGAAGAAAAAAAAAAGGAAACGTTTATCACAAAAAGGACTGGAAGAATTACAAATATTTTAGTTACTTAAAATGTTTCACTCAAAATGAAATGCGAAAAGCAAACAAGAAGAGTCTAATCAAAGGGTATAACCATATACTTAGAGTAAGTGTAAAGATACGTTCAGTCTGATACCCAAATAAATGTAAAGTTAGTAATTTAAAAGTAATTCCTGATGCTGTTGTTGTTGTGTACCATCAAGTTGCAACAGACTCATCACTGACCCTCCAGCGAGCTGTCAGAGGCAATAAAGGCATAGGAGAACATTTTTCATCATTCTCCTGCTGGGGTATTCAAACTGTGTACTTTTACATTGGTATTGTAATTCCTTACCATTAAACCACCAAAACTGATACATACTGACATCTCATTATGCTCATAGCAATATAAAGTGAATCACCTTTATTTTTGTAATATTTACAAACACTGAAGAAATTGCTAACTACTGAGTCCATCCACTTCTGAGAAGGTATATTAAGGGAAAAAATATGTGGATCGAGAAAAAGATTAGCCATAAAAACTATATACCACACAAAAAAAATACATACACATACATACACACTCTCATACTGTACACACATACATTCATCTAGAATAATTATTTATAACGTGAATAATGTAAGGGTAGGAAAAAGACAAAATAGTAGAATCTAAGACTAAAAACCAACTGCTGTCAAGTGAATTCCTACTGACAGAAATGAGATAGGCATAACTGAATTGTCCAATAGGATTTTCAAGGTTATAAGTCACACTTGAAAAAGGGGAAGTTCAAGAAAGTGAGGGAAACTTCCATGAGAAGGACTGACACAGTGATTCCAACAATGGCTTGGCAGAGACTGTAAGGATAGTGCAAGTTAGGGCAAGGTTTTAATTTGATAGGTTGATCTATGAGTTGTAGGTCACTCAATAACACCTAACAACAACAAAATCATTATAGAAAGGGTTTTCTTTTCCCCCGTCTCTATGAGTCGCAAGCGACTTGACGGCACATAACACCAACAACAACCTGTGCAGCTGCTGGTAAATTCCAATCATCAGCCTTCCACTATCACTCAGCAGTTGAGCTCTTTAACTTCTGCACCACCAGGGCTCCCTGAGAATATAATGCTGTTATTGTTAAGTGCCACTGGGTTAACTCTGGCTCATGT